GCCCAATTATGGGGGCTAATTGGGGGAGTGGTGGCGCAGAGGTTAGAAGATGGGCCTGTGATTGGAAAGTCGCAGGTTCAACTCCCGGTACTGTCAACATCAAAATGTGGGTGGAAAAGGTGAAACACCCACACCTCCCTCCACCCTCATTCACCTCACTCTGGGCCCCTGAGCAAGGCCCTTAACCACCACCATCTGCTCCTAAACAGGTCTCTCTAGAAAATGAGTTCTCGTGACTCAATGAGACTACCTGGATAAATAAAGGGTAAATGAAAAAAAGAAAATCACACTAATAACTCCTGTAATTACAATCTGTCACAAGAAACACAAGAAAATGTCTAATAATAATAATTTTATTACTAAGGATGCACGATATTGGATTTTTGGCCGATATGCCCATATGTTAAAACTAATTTAGTCTAATACCGATACCGTTATTTTATATAGTTTCCTTTGTCAGAACATATTCCTCTTATTTTGGCTTATTTGCTACATAAATTGTGCAACAGCTGTAAGAGCTGGTGACATATGATATGCATAGCACTTTGACTTATATTAAATGAAAAGTGTTAAATATTATTTAGTAGCATTAGTCACCTGCGATGCTGTCTCACTTGTGAAGGCTTGTTCCAGGTTCCTAGCTGCAGTGTGGGATCCTCTGCACTCTGTGCATGAAGGACAGACTTTTTAAGTTCAAAGTTTTTGTCTATTGTTCCGTCAGACTACTCATGCTAACGCGGCTAACACGACATCCAAATGTCTGTGGTAAAACTCACCCAAGTCGCGCTATCGGCTAAAAGCTTCTCAACGATGTCGGAATTGACTGCTTGTAACTTGGATAACGTTAAGCTGGAAAAATATCTCCAACTGGGGACGATGTAGTGAGGCTCAACGTAGTCCATAAATCTTTGGAATCCAACTTCCTCACCAATAGGAAAAAAAAAAACTTCCACACCGCCAACATTTTGAATTTTCCTCTCTGCCGTGAGATCAAGTAGGCATGCGTGACGTCATCACGTTGTGCTGCTGCTGCAGGCAAAAACAGTGCCTTTTATATCGGTGAGTTATTTTAATGGAATGGACAATGCCCAACAATGTTTCCCCTGCACCCCGTCAACAGAATTGAGCACCCTGCCTACTAAACCAAACTTGCCCCTCACCTGCCCACCCGGCACTGACATAGCACTAAGCTAGCAGCGAGAAATACAGGTTCTTTAGCTAAAAAGCTAAAGGAAGCACTCTTCCCTCATGCTAAACGCCCCCTGCCCCCACTCAAAAACTGTTAGTACAAGCTGCGCTCAGACAAGTGTCCGTCCCCCCCATCAACAAAAATCATGGATGAGATGAGCACCCCGCCATGGCAAGTTAACCAGGGGAAACACTGCCCGATATTGAACTTTAACGCTAATATTGGCCGATACCGATAACATGCCGATAATATCGTGCATCCCTATTTATTACTCTCAGGGATCCAGCCCAACCCTGGACCCCCCCCCCCCACACACACACACACACACACATTGCAGCACACCAAATGATTTTAAAAATATGTCAGGACTTCATTTTTTGCACGTAAATGCACGGAATCTCGCAAAAAACTTAATATTCTGAAAATTTGGGTCTGTTCTTCTGGGGCTGATGTAATTTTCATTTCTGAATCCTGGCTGAAAACATAAGGATTTGGCATTTGATGGATTTAACACCTACCGTTCTGATCGTCTGAAAAAGAGAGGGGGGTGTCGCAATTTACATCAGAGCAAGCCTGGATTCTAAACTGATGTCAGCTAAAACAATTCCAAACCTACAACGGAGCTTCAGGGCCACGCTAAAAAAAAAAAATTAAAATCCATAAAATTACGAGAATAAAGTTGAATAAAGTCTTAATATTACAAGAACAAAGTCGTACAAGACTTTTTTTTTTTTTTAACAGCTGTTGTTAATTTTTTTTTTTCCACGAGTCAGATCCACGACGCGACCTGTCAATCAATTCGGTATGCGTGTCAGCAAATGACCAATCCGAAACTAAATGAGTCGTAATATTATCTAAACTCTGACACGATAAAGCAGGTTTACTGCATTTTAACTGTGGTGAAATGAAGAACGTTTGTTAAACTTTGTTATTGATGCTCTTACTCAAAACTTGTTCCAATACTGACACCTGCTGTTGTTTTCGTATGCTGCTTCTGGGATGCATATACGTGACGTCATTACGTCATGACTTTCATTTTTGTTTCCGTTTGACAACAGCGCTCAGTGAGAGAAACTCTGTAATCTATTAGCACATCAGCATCAGATTATTATCAATGTCAGGACTTTGAACTTTGTACGGTGTTAGTTCCAGCTCTCTGCAGGTAAGGAGCATTTAGCTTCGGATTGGTCATTTGCTGACACGCCTACTGGATTGATTGACAGGTCACGTCATGGATCCAACTCATGGGGAAAAAAATTGACAGCTGTATGAAAAAAAAAGTCTTGTATGACTATTCTCGTAATTCTACGACTTTATTCTCGTAAATCTACAACTTTATTCTCGTAATTTTATGGCTTTTAATTTTTTTTCCCTTAGCGTGGCAATGTAATTTTTAAAAAATTTATTCATTTCTTTTTTTTAGCGTGGCCCTAAAGCTCCGTCATAGCCCTAGCAGTTAACATCACTTTGAATCTTATCTGTAGTGGGATGTTATC